TATTTCTTTTGATGAATACTAACCTTACTGTATATCTCAAATATTCTTAACAAAAAACTGAAGTTGATCCATTGTACAAATTAAATTATTAAAATGTGTCAACAGAAATTTATAGAGTGAATAATAAACAAACCATGTTTTTAAGTTAAAGATTACTTTTTCAGTTTAAGCTGAGTTAATTTATAGATAAACCAATTAGCCCGCACTAATATTGTCTATATAAATAAAATTACAGTTTTGTCTGTACAATGCTTAGAATCATGCAGTTTTTTGTTATTTTTACGTTTCATAGCCTAAGAAAGCCGAAACGAGTCTTATCTCAATTTCTGTCTGTATGTCTGTCTGTCCATTCTGTGACTCCGTCTGTAACGCCAAAATGTCATTATACGCGGCCTACTCCTAGAAAACTAGAGTACCGATCAAGGTTCTAATCATTTTTCTGTATTTACTGGATTGGTGAGAGTGTCTTTGGCTATAAAAAAAACATGGCCTCGCTTCTTTGAAAACAAAATAACAAACCACCAAAAACCCAATTTTGATCGATTTTTTCAAATTGTCTTCCAATGTTTACTATTACATTTTATGAAATAACGATCAGCTGTTTGGATTAGTTCTCACTTCTAGCTGTCACTGATATGTTTACATTCAAAGTTGTTTACAAATACCGCAACCATTTCCGATCAAGTTTTGTCAGCACATCCAAACCAAGTGAGATTAAAAATTTTGTGCCTTACTTATCAGCTTTAATTAATCGCAAGTGCAACGATTGTTCTTGAGTTTTGATAACCGGGGAAAATACCGTGAATCAGTGTTGTATTAGTGCAAGGAAACTTACATTTTTTTAATCATCGTCACCAATATCGTAGCTTACAAAGGTTTCCACTCATTAACGGCGCTTCAAGGACAGTTGTGTTAAGTGCAAAGTAAAAAATCACAACTGCAGTCAGTGGGTGATCGTGGATGTTGCTGCGATCTTGGAAGATCTTTCTGATTTCGCTGTGATCGTACTGTAACAGAGGTTTAACTTAACAGATGTAGCTAAACTCGCTTTTCCAATGTATCACTTTTGGTTTCTACTTACTTAAATTTCGACAACGATATCGGTACTTTTCTTCTTAGGAAATAAAACTAAAAACGTACAAAACCCCAGATTTGTGCGTTTTTCTTCACATTTCCTCCGAATGTTTGCTAGATATATGTACCGATTATTGTTTAGAGATTGCGTAATCTTTTGAATAAGAAACCTTTGTTTGGATAAAGGCAGTTTCTTCAAACTGTCATTAATATGTTAACATTAAAAGCTGCTTACAAATAATGCTATTTAATGGGAAATAACTTTGATTTTCGAAAACTAAAAAAAAAAAAATTAGGCTAAAACCAAAGGAGATTAATAACTTCGGTACTGCACCACATCAAGTGAAAGTTTTTTTTAGCAAACCATAGTGATTTTTCAAAGCTTTACGTTGTTAACGTTACATGTTACATGTTTTGTGGCCTGTGTATTTATTTATATATTTGCAAACAGATTAACACCTATAATACAGTTTGATAAGAAGGACAGTTTGAATTAGTCGTAAGTACTACAGTTATTTTCTCAAATGTAAACGTTGGTAGCAGTAAGAATTTTACATACAAACACATCACTATTTTCACTATTTATTTATAAATACTGCACCTTATTGCTTATTAAATTTAATTGATGTCTTACTGTATAATTTTTAGCGTTTTCTGTCTGGACTCCAAAAAAATGCTGTGTGGACTCAATTCTGTATTTGTGTGTGTATGTCTATTATTGGTAACACATTAATGTCCTTATTTTTCGTGGAAAAGACGAGAGCACCATTGTTAATAGAAATTTCAACCCGAATAAAGTGTGCAGTAGTGAGGTTGAGGTAGTGTTTTAACTACTTTTAACCAGTGTGAAAAGTAACTTTCAATTACAGGCCTACCTTAGGGCTATGCCTCTTAGATCTATACTGTAAAGCAATTCCTTTCATCATTAGATATCAAAGGTATGGACTAACATGATCGGGTGACATTTAATTGCGAAGCATTCGTTTTGGCTTTGAAACTGTCAGATATTGTATTTGAGAAGGTTTACAAAACAATTATAGTTTTGCCATCATATCTGGAAAAATGCACACTAAATTTGCAAACCAACTCCTGTTCTGAATATATGGTTTTAACTTACCACAAGATTCCCGTACGTAGAACGGGCAAACAGCTAGTTGTTAAAAAAAAGAAACATTAAAACATATAACATTCAAACTGATTACAAAATATATATAAAGGTAAGTTAATTTGTATTTATGAAGTAATGTGTATATGATCTTAAAGGTATTTCGTATTCTGAAAAAGAGTGGCCTTTCCCTGTACGGTATTACTTTTTCTCGGATCCAAGTTGTAGCGGGAAGCGTAGCGCCGCCGGCCACCACCTGGTCGATGAAAATGCAGTGGTTGCTACGACGACGCTTCCCGATCGTGTGTTGCTGACTTCTTCCGCATTCATTGCTGCATTGTCTTTATATTTTACATTTAGGCCTACGTAATACATTTTTTCTTCAGAAATAGTATCACAAAATATTTATGATAGGCCTATCGCAAAAATATGAGAAAATAGGGACAGAGAATTTATCTTCAACAAGAAAGATTTAAGAACGAATTTGGCCGAAATCGTGAGTTTTGAATACTAAAATATCAAAATTTTCCCGGGACCCCCCTCTGCGCAGGGGGGTATTCCATACCACCCTGACCCCCCGGTAGGTCAATGTCTGCCGCCCCCCCCCCCCCCTGTACAAGTTTCTACCGGCGCCCCTGAGATCAACAGATGATGTAATTGTGCAGATTTCTGATTGGCTGATGGTTTCTTTCGTGCAGTAATCTAATTGGCTGGTGGTTTCTTTGTTAGTTGTTTGTTTAGAACTGTCTCCATGACTCCATGTTGTTAGTTCAAAGTGAAGTAGTGACAAAGGAGGACGTAGCTCAAATTTGTGATTAATTTTCATTCTGATTGTGTCGAAAAATCACGTTCAGAAATTATGTAGAATACGGAGTGATTCCTGGTGAAATATGTGGATACCTATCAATATGTATTTGTTGGATGAAGTGATTTTAATTTTCGTTGTAGGCTAGTTGCTGGTTGGCTATCGGCAAACCAAAGACATGGTGCTCTCCGTGCGTGCCAGTTTTGGTTATCTTTGAGTGAGACAGTAAATTATATGTCGAGTGCATATTCCTTGTGAATTTTCACATCGATGTAGTGAATCCAACATTCTTGAAATGTGAAATTGTGTAAAATTGGTGTAAAAATGCATAAATATTTCGCCTAATACAAAATAATAAACTAAAACGAACATTACACTGTAAAATTAGGGATAAAACCCACACTTCGTCTTTGTTATCGGACAAAAACTCACGACGACGCCGCCATTTTAGGTTACGATGACAAGTGTTCTGTTCCTTTAGCTTTGAAAAATCAAAAGCTTCAATTTGTGTCACCAGCCTAACAACATTGAATTCTACTGTCCTTCGTCTACAAGAGCGTCTATAAAACAACGTTTTTGTACTTTTCACATTGTATATATAGGTATGCGATTTAGAAATCGACATTTTATGTCGATCCGCCACATGAACAATACGTAAATGAAATGAAATGAAATATTACTTTATTATCACAAAACATTTCACAGATCCAGCGTTAGCTGGTGAAACAGGTGATATTGTCAGAGATCTTAAACACTTTTGTAAAAATAGGCTATTTACAAAAATTGTTCATCGATCAGCTGTTGGAATGTATTATGACGTTATACTTTATACAGAATAAAAGATTAGCCTACTTCATGCTTGTTGCAGTGGTACCACTTGCTTTTGTCAGAGACAAAAATTACGTCTGCTATTTATTTTTCTAATGACTCATCTTTTACGATTGCGCAACAAAACATGGCGTTCGCGAGTTTGCGCGTATTTTTCGTTTAAATGTAACTCATTATAAGATCAATATACAGGGTGTCACAAAAAAGTGTGATGGGCTATACAGGACCTAATTCTACATGCAAAAATAAGTCAATAATGAAGAATAAATTTTTTTGGATTTCGGCTTAGTTTAGCCGTAATCCGCCATTTTGTTTTTTGGGGAAAATATTTATTATTTCAAAATCCCTTTGAGATATGTTTACGAAACTTGGCAAAATTGTTTACACTATAGTAAGTAACATTTATAAAAAAAATTATTATTTTAACTTTCCAAATTTCAAAATGGCGGCCGTTTGAATTTTTTAATGCCAAATTTTATGAAAACCGGTACCTAAGTTTAAATCAAAATTTTGTAAGAGACAAAAGTTTTAGTATTTATTATGACAAATCCAACAAAACAAAAATGAATAAAATCGGTTCATAAATAAAGAAACTGTGTATATTTTAGTAATTTAGACTGAAATTACTTAATATGTTACATAAATTATTACATTACATTTAGGCCTAATACATTTTAATATTTAATATTTTAATATTTTTACAACGAAAGTGAAGCTTGATATAATTGTATGGTCACTTACCGACAACAACTGATTGCATTTTTGGAATCAGCGTGAAAAAAACTGTAAGTACCGTAGACATCTAAAATTACCCAATATCGCGTTGTAGGCCTAGACATATTAAATAATTAGCCTACCAGTTAATCGAACCAATATTAGCGTAGCCTAGTTAAGAAACTGTAGGTCTACCGTACCCGATTTTGTATTTTTTTTAGGCTAAGTACTTCTTTCTGCTGTTCCTTGTCATTTTTTTGGAAGAGGCCTAGGCTATATATCTTTTCTCCCAATTATTGGGTATCCTACAAAACATCATCTTAATCTAGAATTTCACACTTCAGGAAGAGCGTTTAAACTGAGTTTTAGGTCCTAAAATCTAGGCTAGGCTATTACTTACGCAATAAGATAACTCCTTATGGTTTGTAATAATCAATTTAAACTCAGCAAAAGAGCTGAATAAGTTAAGCTTACCTTCAACTGACTAAGAACTCCTTGAGGTGGAAGCCACAGATAACCTTCTTTGACACACTTGTCCTTTTCAGATGACATAACTAACTCAGTTTATTTTACATTACATGACACGAAACTGGCTTATTACCTAGTAATTATAAACTCACTTTATCAAATAGTTTATCACCGAAATATGTTTTTGAGACTTTTTCCCCATAGCTGAGGAATATGAGAATAGGAGGGATGCTTTGTTATAGGTACCCTACCGGACGATTCCTATCCTAAGCTTGAGTAAAAATAATCGTTTAGCCTATTTAAAAGCAGAACAAAGTTGCATCGTTGAATTTTTCTAAAATACAATTGTATATGTATATATATTATTGTTTGATTAGTCTTCAAACGCACAGGGTAGATATTTTCTTAATTTCTTCACAAACAACAAACGAACTGTACTGCCATTGATTGTCAAAAAACAAAATAATATTGTGTGTTGTCGTTGTCTGTTGTGGGAGAGTTTTGCAGTTAGTTGTGTTCTGACACTTCCCCAGTTCCAGTTCCATCTACTAAATCTAAAGAACGATGAGCTTGAGCTGATGAGAAACAACAAGAACTAAAACAGTTCAGCTCACTTCGACTTCACTTCAATTGCACCCTTAAGTAGGCTAGTTAAAATGTGGTTAAATGTTAAAATGTGGCCGACGGCCGTGCTTGCTGCTTAGTGCTTGCACTGGCACTGAACTCGAACACTCGAACTGATCCACGTCCACTCCACGGCCGGGCTGATCACACTTCTCACTCAGTCCACTCCACTACCCTTGGCTCCAATAATCGAATTCAGTCCAAGTCCAATGCGGCCCAGTGAGCACAATGAGCTAATGCAAGCTAATGTTTAGCAGGCTGTTGGATTTCAATACCAAACTAGGGGAAATCCGTCGAAAAAGACGGTTACTATTGAGGTTTTATGTAACTTCAGCTAACTGCGGTGATAGAGTGAAAATCTTAGGGAGGATAAGCATAATAATGTATATGAGATTGCGTAACTACCTTCAAAAACGTGGTTGGCTCTAGGTTGCCCAAAAGGAGTCTTATAATAATTGTTTCTTGTTCATAAGTTTTGTTCGTGTTAAAGCCACTTTCGCTATATGGGAAAAGGAGTTCATATAATTGGTCTGTCATCTTACGAAAACAGTCTATATTAGGCTACTAATAACTGGTTACATCTGGTTTAGGAAAATCATTCAGACCGTATTTGGATTCCATAAGTAAATCACCATCTTTGGCCATAAAAACAGAATTTAATCAGCATATTAAATCTTAAATCAGTTTTTTGTATTGATAAAAATATCTGATTCACTAGAAGGCAGCAACATTCTTACTTCGATCCAAGCAATTTTGATTCATTCTCTTGCCAAATCGACCAATTGTATTTAATCATCCTGTACTTATTTGCCAATTGATTAACTTCTGGCGTAGTTTTGCCTTGGCCGTATTGATCACATAGAGTTGTGCATGTATTTTTTGGATGGGATGAACCATAATTGTAGTGAATTTGACCACAAATCTTGAACATTTGCTGAACCACATCCATAACCTGGTCCGGCTTTGTTGGCAACAAATTATGCAAATGAGATGAGATGTGATGGCACTGTTGTATTTCCAAATGTTTTGTATGTAGTGAGGTTTAGATGCATTGTTCGACCTAGCCATATTAGGCCTATATTATATACTGTATACATATATTATATGTAGCATTATATGCACATCAAAGTAAAAACCCTTTCCCCTTTTTTAATACCTGAACTGCCATTAATTTACCTACTGCACCAAATCATAGATTAAACATACTCCGTGCTTAGTTTATTCCAAAACTTGGAACACAGCTCAAATCCTCAATGTACTCATCTACAAATGATTATTGAAAGTAGACAAAAAAAGGCAAGTGCAAACCCTTACAATAAATATAAGCTAACCCGATCAGGAATAGTTATCTGTTCCTTTGATAAGTCCAACTGATTTTATAATATAACATTTTTGTAAGTGCATTAAATAATAATATAATAATAATAATAAGTCATTTATTGGGCCAAATTGACAATACTTGCATTAGCTAAGTCAGTACAAGAAAAATAAATGTATTACATCTTAATAACAAAAATTCCTTACTGTAAAAAATTCTATAACTAAATAACTAAACATGCGCACATGACTTTGTGAATGACCACTAAAGTAGAAATTCACGGACGCTGTAAAATGATCTATCTAACAACATGGACTTTAGACCTGTTCTAAACTTTTTTGGAACTTGTTCGGCCTTCAATTGAGGTGGAAGTCTATTAAATAGTTTTACGGAATTGTAATGGAAGTTTATTTGAAAGAAAGAAGTGGAATGCCGGGGAATTGGTAGATTTAAAGTATTGCGCAATGACCTGGAATTTTTTGCAGATGAGAAAAAGGAAGTATTTTTGCTATGGAAAGATAGAGTTTCGAGGATGTAAATAGATGGGAAAGTTAAAATTTTAAATTCTCTGAAATAATCTCTGCGTGATTGTTGTTTGGAGATAGAAAACACAATTCGAATTGCCCTTCTCTGAAGCCTAAACAAGAACCTAGTCCTCTCACTTTCGCACCCCCAAACAGGAACCGCATAAGTCAGATGAGGGTAGACAAGCCCATAATAGGCTGATAATAAGGACATCAGTGGTGGCTGATTGGCTAAGAACTCTCAGCATAAATATACCCACCGATACTTTCCTGCTGACGTGCTCGATGTGGCTGTGGAATTTGAGGTTTTCATCAAGGACAAGACCGAGGAATTTTACTTCTGAAGAAGAGGAGATAGTGTTATCGTCGAGGAGAATGTTCAAGTCATAGTGGGACCGTTTTGACCGGTTAGAAATGGAAAATTGGACTATTTGGGTTTTTTGAGCGTTCAAGATTAGGTCATTTTCTTCACACCACTGAAGAAGGGAGTTTGATTCCAGAAAGGTGACAAGTTCCAGTTCCTCCATACTCGGTCTGGACACAGTTAGGGAAGTGTCGTCCGCGAATAGGCATACATTTGCCTCCTTTACGCTAGATGGCAGGTCATTAATGAACAGAAGGAAAAGGATCGGCCCCAGAAGAAATCAATTTTTGAACAAAAACTTTTAAACATATCATAAATTCATCATTTTGTTAAAACTATAAAAAGCTTATCATGCAGTGAAGAATCAATTTTAAAATCGTAAATAATGTAAACATTTAATTTGGACAGTTTCAGTAAATGCTCATAACACTTGACCTTTGAAATGCAATTTTAAAATTAACAGCTGGTTCATTAAAAGTAGTGTAAAATTATACATATGGTCATAATGTAAACAAATCTGCTGAGGGGAATTTAATGGCCTCTCCGAGGGAATTCACCTCGTGTTTCTCTTTTGATTGCTCATCTACAGACCCAGACCTTTCTTTACCCATGTAGCACAGATGGTTGGGCCAACGTTGGCCAACTGTGGGACAGTTGGTCGATGGTTGGTTGGAGCTTCCACAACCAACCAACCGTTGTCCAACTGTATATCTCATAGTTAGGCGTTTCATGTAGCGTATTAATCATACTAATATTATAAATGTGAAAGTTTGTTTGTTTGTTTGAAGTTCAATCACGCATTAACTACTGGTCGGATTGAGTTGAAATTTGGTATGATGATAGCTCACATTCCCGATTAACATAGACATATTCTTACCCCAAAAATCCTTTCGGGCTCCGCCCCAGCGGCTCTAGAGTTTTCCATGTTAACCTTATGAGTATTCATATTTAAAAGGAATTAAATAATTTTGCCAGCGGTTTCAACTACACAATTTGTTTCTATGATATTCAATAGCATTAAAAGGTTATACGGTTTACCAACAGGGTGCAGCACCATTAGTTTATGGTGCACCATGGTTTATGACAACAGCTAATTTGAACCAAGCTGCAACAAAAACCTGAGTGTGAGAACTTTACTTCTTTCTATTGTTTAGGTGAAGTGGAGAACATTATGGCTATGGTAGATATTCTATATACTATAGTATACCGTAAATTATAGTAAACCAAATTTTCTCAAAACGTGTCCTCTCTCATTGCAAATGCAAAGCACGAGTATTTAACTACAATAAGCATAATTGTATACCAACCCCGTACGAAGGACGGGTACTCAGCTAGTTATATAATATATAGATCCTGTTGTTGGTTGAGTTGAGTGTTGACGATTGACTCAACTGTCAACCATTTCAAAAATAGGGCCCCTGGACGGTCTGACGACGTTGTTATTATTGTTGTAGACCGGTGCCCCAGATGGGCACACGGGAGGGACGATGGCTAAAGGTTTGGTGACGTCATATCTCTAGTGGCTAATGTCTTTTCTTGAGGCAACACGATTACCGTAACAAGACGATGTTGTTCCAGTGGCGTTCGTGGCATAGTTAGTTGGTAAAGGCATCGGACTAGTGTTCGGGAGGTCTCGAGGTCGAAATCCGTCGGTGACACTAACTTGTTGTCAAAGATTTTGCTTTATTTGATTTTTATCTTATATCTTTTTAATATCATCAGCAAGTTTGGTTGGTTAGGTTAGGTTATGACGGCTTAATTTTATAATACTAAATTTTAAAATTAAAAATTATAAGTAAACATTCATATCATTTTTATCTTATATATTTTTTATATTATCAGCTAGTTTGGTTGGTTAGGTTAGGTTATGACAGTTTAATTATACAAAGTTAATTTTATATCTCAAAATTATAAAATTTACTTAATTTAAAATTTTCAACTTAGCGGTTCTAGGGAGTATGATTTATCTATGGTTCTAGCCATCTAGCGGACAAACGTCTACAGCCTGACTGATCACTTATTGCAAACGAAAAAACTGGCCCATGAAGAAGAAGAACCATCTTGATGATGTCTGCGGTCTGTCGTCTGTTCTTAGCTAGCAGCATATTAAACAAAGTCAAAGTCAAACAGACTCCTAGATATAACATAACCTCAACCCTCAAAACCAACTAATATTTTGTTGTATATTATTTCACCTTCAATCCTACCAAGTTATATAAATATAAGCTATTTTTAATGTTGACGTTATTATTTATCGTATTGTTCCTTAAATTATTGCTACACCATTTGTTACTTTGATTTCCAAATTAGTAAGCTAAACAAACTAGACACATTCATACTTTCTTGGATATGAGGGTTAGAGGATTAACCTAGTTTAAACCTACCAGGATAGTATAATTTTATGTTAACAAACCAAATTTAATTCTGATTAGATTAAACCAATGGCAAATCTATAACACTAGTCCTAATGCGTTGAATTGAATTGTCCTCTATG